TGTTGCTCCATGGCCGGCTCTGCTTTGCAGCTGCACAGACACATTTGGACAGGCCAGGGCTCTTGTAGAGAACACTTGTAGAGCTGGAAAAAAATGTAGTACCTCACATCTCATTTGCCAGGAAGTGAAACAGGGCCAGGGTGACTCCCTCATCTTGTTACATGATGTAACAATTAAGATGTGTGCCAGGGGTCCAGAGTCTGGGGCATGCTCAAGAGAGCTGAGCTCCTAGACAGTGGGCTTCTGTCTGCACCCTAGCTCCCTGCTAGGACCAGACACTTGAAAGAGTGTCATCACAACCAAGGAGGGTGCTTCCCACTTGTCACATGGCCTCCAAACTACTGAGCAGGCCAGAAAGCTCAGGCACTTTCCAGAGCCTTCTTTCTTCTGTGTCTGATAAGTCTCAGGTTCAAAGCAGGAAGTCTGCCTGATATTCAGGACAGCTGTGCTCTCCCTGGGGTTTCAGCTGCTGGTCATAGCTCATCAGGGTTTCAGCCTCGTGCAGAGACTCTGTGAGTAGACGATTTCCCTCCTGTTTTACAGATATGGAACCTGTGACACGCTCAACAGAGGTGGGTCATTGGTTCAAGTTTCTGTCTCCAAGGCCAGTATTCATGATGCACTTTAAGAACAATAATGATTAAACTTGACCATCCCTCTCCTGGAATAACTTTCTTCAGGGCCCAGTAGATTCTGGTATTCTAGTCCTGTAGAGAAGTTTCAGTTATACTTTTTTGCCTTTGACCCCAGAGATGAAGAACTCTTAACCCCTAGTCAGAAAGAGCCAGGCACCTGCACATCAACCCTAGAATGTGCACAGTACACCTAGAGCACACAGCTCCTCCACAGAGCCTGTCCTGTGAGGTAAGACCTTGCTTGTGAGCAGTTTGGAATGGAATTGGTCAGTGTCTTGTCTGCCTGATGTTGTGAATCCCTCCCACACTGCAGCTATAAGAAGTCAAGTGACAAGACTTCCTCTATAAGCATGTATGCTGAGTACCAACCCAGGAAGTGGGGAAGCAAGACACACTCCTGCTGAGTGGGGTGAATGAGCTGGTGAAACTTACTAGCCAGGTGGGCATAAACTGCAGGACACAAAGATAAATGGTGAATTTCCCACCTATACCAGGCCCGGCCACAGACTTCTTCCTGGAGTATCTGACTAGAAATAACTTCATTTAAACTTATCTTCATTATTAAACTTTTAGACAAGAGAGGCATGGCACGTAATTAAGTGCCAGCTGAATACATAAGGTTACCTAGCGGTTTCTTGAAGGAGGACCTTGGCCTTGGAACTTTTTCCTAAAGTTTTTATAATTCAGTTAAAGACATTTTAGACTCATCTGTATGATGTATGATGTGTCTGAAGGTAGGAAAAAAACAGGCTTGCTCAATCTGCCTTGGCTGTCCTCCCAAAAGCACCCTTGGAAGCACTGGGTTCTGATGAGGCTGAAACTATAACTGCAGCCAGTCACGATGGCACACCAGGGGCTCTGTCTGAACAGCTGGGCAGGAATCAGCCTGTGCAGTCTGAGCTGGATAAAGAATGCCTTCCTGAGCAGTGGATTCAAGTCATTTAAAGATCCGGAGTCTGTAGATCCATTACGTCTAACACTGAGTTTGAGACAGGCCAGCAGTGTGTACTTCTGGATGTTGTGAAGACTTGTATTGGGAAGGGGAATGTACAGCCATATGGAGATACAGAAAAAGCTACAGGGTGACATCTATGTAGGAGTTGGCCAGATGTGACAAGGAGGAAGGTTGAACCCCAGCAGAAGCCACTTCAAGAAACAAAGCAGGGAAAAGTGTCAAGGAGCTGCTGCCACCAAGTAATCTGCCCAAGGCCTATGGGAGTGGGGGGAGCAGGAATGGGAAGTAGAACTCAAACTGGAAGACCTTGAGGGCCATGCTGAGGCCCGTATACTGATAGTGTAGACATTCGGCAGGACGAGTTCTGTTGTATTCCTCCGGCAGTTCTCAACTTCCAGCCTAGGAAGTCTCCTCAGGAGCTAATTTGGAGCTTCAGGACCCTCAGCCTGAGGCTCACACCCATGAGTGATTGTTGGGGCTCTTGCCCAATGTAGAAGATGTGGTTGAGTTGAGAAATCCCACTCCAGGTCATTCAAGCTAGAGGAATGTCAGCCACTGGGAGGGAGGATACAGCTTGCACTGATGGAGGCTGTTTATCCAGCTCACCCTTTCTGTCCAGGGCTCATGGTACCTCTCACCGGTCTTCAGGAACTCATCCTAGCTCTGAGGCAGGGACTTAAGTGTGACTCAGTGGCAGCAATGGGAAGAGATCTATGGCTAAGAAGGCTGTCTGTGGAAAGTCCCAAAGCCTGGGGGCTGGGTTGCCCTGGGAACTCTGATGCTCTGGTACCCAGGGGAAGGTGGGCTTAGGCTGAACCTCCCTAACCCTTGGCTCTGAGTGCAGTTGTCTTCCTGCCCAGCCTGAGTTCCTTCACTCTCCCACACTCCTCCTCGTCATCCGGCACTAGCAAGATACTGCTCCTTCTCTTGCTCTGGAATCAGCTCTGAAAACACAGCGCATGATTCTCTGGGCAGGCTGATATTTATAGCACTCTAATTATTACCTTAAAGAAGAAATTGTATCTTCTACTTCATATTCCCAAAAGCAGAGGCACCTCCTAACATTGGCATATTGGACCCTGCAGGGATCTGGGGAAGGAGAGGCAGGCAGCACCCACTGTCCTCTGCAGCTCCTCCCTCCTGGCTGAGCCCTTGTTCTGCCCAGTTTCTACCCTCAGGACCTGACAGGCAGAAGGTGGGTCATGAGCATAATGTTCAAGGAAGGTTGCAGAAGGGCCGGGCAAAGTGGGGTTTAAAATCAAGGTTGAGCTGGACATGGTGGTGCATACCTGTGATCCCAGAGGCAAGATGCTCAACCACAACTTCAAGCCTAGTCTACATCAAGAATTCCAGGTGTGCCAGGAGGCCATAGCAAGAGCCCATCTCAAAAGCCAAACCAAACAAAAATCAAAAAGTTGGTAGAAATGCTTTTGTACCATGCAAGGCCTGGGGTCTAGACCCCAACACTATTCAAAACAGGATGTTGACATAAAAATTATAGCTCTTATCTTAAAGGGAATAAGAGACAGCTTATCCTGTAGCCATTTTGAGTGTCCCAGAGCACAGATTTAGGTTACCCGAAATTCCATGTTCCAACGTGGAAGCAGTTTTTAAAAGATTTTATAATTTTACAAAACAAAGTCATAAATCCCGAAAACTTTTAAAATTCACTGGTTGGGTACATCATAGAGACAGGTTCACTGAGATGGGGGGGGCTATTCTATCGGCCTAAGTTGCTGTCTAGTGACATTCTTAGCTTTCAGATTGGTAGGAGCTAGTTGTCTGCTAGTCAATAGATTCTAAAAAAAGTTCTTTATTTACTGTCACAAGATGTTAAGTCCAACATAGACGTGGGCAACCTCTGGAGGTTAGAGCTTATTCTGAGATCAAGTAATTAGCCTCTGGGCCTGCTACATTCCAGTCTCTCCACAGTACTGATGAGATTCTAATCAGCAGCCCATCTCTGCTGACAGGCTTCTTTCCAGGTCTGCTCTCTCACAGCCGGATGCAGCCTCTTTGGAAGTTTTCATTCATAAGGGGATTACACATCTGTAATCACAGCACGTGGTGGATGGAGGTGGGTGGAGGTGGGAGGGCCCAAAACTCAAGGGCATTCCCAGCCATACTGTGAGTTTTAGGTGAGCCTAGGCTACATGAGAGCCTATCAGAAATAAGTCCAGGCTGATGTCAGATGGAGAGGGGAGGCCAGGGCAGGGAGGGGGCAGATGCTATATTCAGCAACACAAAAGGCAGTTTTGAGGAAGAGTGGGGAGGGAGGGGAATGTGTGCCCAGAACCCAGACCATCTTCTGAATAGCACATTAGGGTAAATTCCACCTTCTTCATTATTACCTACCAAGTCATAGTCTAAAAAGAGTTACAAAGGGCCAGTGGACAGACATGGAGGCTCAGGTCTCTGCACAGAGAAAAGTAAGGCTGGGCCTCCTTAGGTCAGACTGCAGCCTGGGCACCTCAAGTGGGTCCCACAATGCAGCTCAGCATCCCAGGAGCCTGTGTGCTCACACGAGCCATGCTTCTTGTGAAGTTTATGGCCCAGTGGTCCCTCTGATTCTCTCAGCAGTGGTAAGATGGATCAGAGGGCCTCACTCTGAGAACTAGGCCACAGCCTTGTATGGGTCACAGAGGCTCAGCTATACAGCAAAAGTTATTTAGGTACCTGGTGTATAAAATATATTGCCAGTGTGTTGATCTCAAAACGTCGATACACTTGATACTTCCATGTTGCCTGGCACCGTCTCCCAGCATAGGTAGGCAATAACAAGAAAAGGCTAGCACTTGAGACCACAGGCTTCCTGGCTCTCCCTAGTACTTTAATGAACAAGAGTGCTAATGATCTGGGTTAAATGCTTTGGTTTCCACTGATGTGTTCAGGGTACTGATTGAAAGCTGCCTTCTGACTACAGGAACATGGCCCACACATACATGCAAGACAAAACACCCATACACATGAGACACAATAAGAAGTTACTTTCCTATTGTGGCTCTTGCTGAGGCTTGATCCTGTGCCCCTATGTAGGGCACAGAAGTATAAAGCCTGGCCATGTGTTAGTAGGATTCAAGGTGTTGCTAGCTGAGCTTGTAAAGGGGCAGAATACTCCAGGCAGAGCTGAGTCACAGTTGATTACTGTAAGAGGTGGGCAAGATACTGTCTGATCAAAGCAGGTAGGTGAGTGAGGCAGGCATTGGCAAACACTAAAAGGTATCTTATTGTTTGGTTATGAGGATGAGGAAAAACTGAGGGACAGAGAAAAAGCTAGCATCTGATGGATATGGTAGAGGCTGTGCCCTCTTGGGCTGGGGAGATGAGCAGGTGGTGTGGAATCCTCCCCAGGGCCATCCTTGGAGGAAAGCCTTACCAGGCCCTGCTGACTGTATCTCTTCTTTCCATAGCCTGATGTTCACCAAGGTGAAGCTGGAGCAGGTGCTGAAAGGCCCAGAGGAAGCCCTTGTGACTTGCAGGCAAATGCTGCGACTGTGGCAGACCCTCTACAACTTCTCTCAGCTGGGGTGAGTACTGCCATCGCCCCTTGGGTTGCTCAGGAGCATGGGCAGAGTAGGCAGGTGGTGGCTGCCTGAAAGACCACAGTACTCACAAAGTGTGTTGGTGGTTTGAATGGAGATGTGGAACTCAGTGTTGAGAGCTTCTTGTTCACAGTTCAGTTTGAATCCCTCAGCAGTCCTCTAGAACCCACACCAAGACCCAGTTAGAAGACAGCATCTGAGAGAGGTTCTGTGCTTCCTGCTTATGTCTGTTCCGACACCATGTTATCAGAGACTGACTTATCCCTTATCCAATGTGCCAGTCACTTGCCTGTTATGTGACCGACAAGTCGAGAACTGTCAAGAACCCTCTCTCCTAGTGAAATCAGGAAAATAGGATGGAGTGGAAAAACCTCAGAGTCAGCCCTCCCTTTTCAGGCCACTTGGCCTGGGAGATTCCAGCGCAGGGTAGAACTCGGAGATAGAAACTTCCAGAAAGCTGTACACAATGGATTTTTCACAGAGGGAGTAGAAACACTCCCTGGTGGTGGGCACTAGAAGGCCAAGGATCATCCTTAGGGTATTTGCATTCAATACATTTTGCTTTCCAGCCCTCTGGCTGCAACATCTGGAACAGGTACACATATTGGCTCAGTTTGCACAGGAGCTGCCCTGGAACCTGCTGCTCCATATCTGCCTGGCTGGCAGGCTGCACATCCAAGTGGTCAGGCTAGACAAGGCCTCATAGAGGGGTAGCTTTGACTAAGAGCAGCTGTGGAGCAGGCAGGTGTTCTCATAGAGGCAGGGACAATTGAATTGATGTCCCAAGTTACCATTCACATTCCATTCTGTCCCAAGAGGCTGCTCAGGTTCATAATGTAGAGTACCTCTTCAGGAAACTTCCACAACTCTCTCACCCCAACATTCAGCAGGACTCAGACAGGTTGCTACTTGGCCCACAAGCCTGGATCCAGTCCCTCCTGGCTGCCTCAGGAGACAGGAAGGGTTTTTCTTTGAAACCTAGAGCCGTAAACCAGAGCCCAGTGCTTATAAAAATATAATTTTGGTCAATCGTAAACTAAGACCAAAATCTACAGTCTGAGGGTCTGGTCTGTTTACCCACCCTAGCCAGCCTGCACCACCCCACCCAACACCTCTGGATTCTTTTTAAACTACACTGATGTCCTCATCACCTCCAATCCCTCCTTCATGAAGCTACCGCCACCCAGAAGCCACTCAGCCCTGCCTATAATAGTCTTGTTGATCTGCTTAGCTTGGCCTATCTCCCCTCAGGTACTAGGGTCTTTGCCCCAGCCTGCAGGGATTCAACAAGACCCTAGGAAAGGGGCAAAAGAATGAAGGGACAAGAGACACAAAGAATGAGAGCAAGTCTGGGGTTCTGATCAAGCTCTGAAACTTTAATTTCAGGGACAGGTTATAAAGACACAGCAAAAGGGGAAGCTTAGGCAAGGGTCATTGCTCACGGCTATCCCACTATTGAATCCTCCATGTCTAAGACCATCCCACTGTGGTATCCTCATTTCCCAAGACCATCCTACTGTCATAACTGGCTCCCAGGAAATATCAGACGTTCTTTGAGTTCCTGGGACCTGAGATCCTCAAAAGTCTTTTCTTAACCTTGAACTGACTAGACTTTCCAGAACAGCAGATAACTTCCTGGGTTTGGCTCCCACCATCTCCTCTCTTTTAGCAATTTTAAACAAGGCAGGCAGGCAAATGTGGACATTAAGAAATCTCATCGGCAGATAAATGGGCATTAACCAGAAGGGTAAAGTATTGACTTGATCCTCCCAGTATCATTTGTAATGGTGTCTTTTGGGGGAGGAGAGGGTTATTTGTCTCATGGGCCATGTAGGATATCGAGGGTCCTAGCCAGCTGCTTTGAGACACAAGAAATCAACACCTACCTCTATGCAATCAGGTTTGCTTTTTGGGGGACTCAGAAGCAGACAATTTGGGTCCTCTCCCTGTGGTGCCTCATCACGCACCCCTTGCAGGTACCCATGTTGTGTCCGTGCCATGCCGAACCAACATGCACAGATCTGATTTCCATGCAGCTCCTAAAGGAGCTATGTCATCAAAAGGCTCAGCCAAGCCTCTATCAGCCAGATCAAGTCTGTGATAATGTGCTTGTAGAGGTTTAGATGCCATAGAGTCAGTTTGTTGTTTTATAAAGTCAGTGAGTCTTTTAAAGGCCCAAGGGCCGAAAGCCAAAAGGAGAAGGAGACTGACCACTGGACCCAGGATGGAAGGGAGAAGGGTGGTAAGCCAAGGAGAGACAGAGAACCAGTTTTTCTTGTTCTTGATGTTTCTTTTGACATTCTAATCTCTCTCTGATCTTGGCCATACTGACTCAGTATAAAAACAGCATTCCTCCTTGAGGGTGACACAGAGCCCCCCTTGCTGAAGGAAAAGCAGATGAGGGATTTTTCCAGATTAGTGATGCCAATCTCTAGCAGTTTGATGTCAATGGGCCGTCAAAGTTCTGAGTAGTCAAATTAGTAGTGCAAAGTAGTTCTGAGTAGGCCTGAATCGGGATCAGAACCTCCAACAGCATACATCACGGGTGGCTCATTTTTATCTGGAAAGGGAAAAAAAAAAAAGGAATTCTCAGGGAGATCTCTCTCCCCTGGATCTCAATTGTTAATCCATTTTATCTACAATTGGGTCTGGCTTTGTGGAGATATCTGTTTGTTTCACCAATCTTTCTGGCAGCCATCTAGTCACACCTTCTTTGGTATCAAACAGACATATCGATCCTCGGTCCCATATGAGAACTGGGTTTTGGCCATTCCATTTAAAGGTAGGATGGTCCTTCCACGTAACTGTGGCATAATTTTTATTGGTCTCAGGATGCCAGAGGCATCAGATTTGCCATGAGCATCCAGATTTAGAAAATTGAGAACAAACAAGGCATGATGGAGAGTATTTCTCGGGGAGCCTTTCTGGGATATAAGTCCCCCTTTTTTCTTTTTTTAAAAGCCAGTTCATTAGAGTTTCTTCAAAACTAGGGTAGAGGCACCAGAGCTGCTCCTCCCACACTCAGAGAGTTATGAAGATGTTATTTTAAAGTTCCATGATACCTGTTTCACAATACCTTGTCCTTGAGGATTATTATAAGGAATCCAGTAATATGGGTAAAATTAAATTGTCAACAAAACATCTCAAATGACTTCAATAGCCAGTTCCATATTCTCTCTTAATCTGATATGGAACACCAAGCATTGAAAGGTAATGTAGGCAATAACTAATTACATTTTTAGTTGCTTCTCCTGCTAAAAGCAGTTGCAACTAGAAAGCCTGGAAAGAGCCGGGCAGTGTTGGCGCATACCTTTAATCCCAGCACTTGGGAGGCAGAGGCAGGCGGATTTCTGAGTTTGAGGCCAGCCTGGTCTACAGAGTGAGTTCCAGGACAGCCAGGGCTACACAAAGAAGCCCTGTCTCAAAAAACCAAAAAAAAAAAAAAAAAAGCCTGAAAAGGTGTCAAGTCCCATGTACATGTTTTAATTTTCAAAAATTAGAAATGAGTAACATTCACTTGCCATACTAACACCATTATGAAAAGAATTGAGGATACTGAGAACAAGTTTTTGCAATTTGACTTGCACACTCTCTAGAAATATCAAGTTATTGTCTCAAGCTATTATTATTTTGATGATGTAAAGAATAAGATTGTATGGTCAATTGTTCTGTAAGGTCTATAATCTGCCTGGTGTACAAATCTACTGAGGCATTGCCCTGGGGTCCAGGCAATCCAGTATGAGCTCTTAAATGTCTTATAAAGTTAAGGAACTGTACATGTTTCTTAAATTAAGCTATATTTGTAAAATTTGAGAAATAGCAATATCTAAAAAAGGAACAATTTCAAGCAATTACAAACCATGAGCTATATACTGACTATGAGTATACAAATTGAAAGCTTGATTTTTCAACATTTCAAACAGTGGCTGTTGGTATAGGTCCAAACTCAGTGCAATATCATCCTCATCTGTATAAACAGGTGGAGCTTCCCCGACCTCTTCTCTTTCCTCTCTGCCATCTTCTCTCTCTCTCTCTCTCTCTCTCGCTGTCTCTCTCACCCTCACCCTCCATCTTTAATAAATCCCACTCCCGTGGAACCGGTCTTGTTGGTTCTTTTCCCGTGGAACCCGTCTCATTGGTCCTTGACGCACTGAGTTTGGACCTATACCAACATACCTCCCTTTTTCTTATTATAAAAAAGAAAAAAGGAGAGGGGAAGCCAATGGTGAAAGAGGAGTTGGGGCGCCATGTCTCTTAAACTACTTCCTGCTGTGTAGGGGCATAGTCCATTGAGGGGAGCAGCCATCAGGGCCCACTCGGTGGATGTGTGTATCAGGCTCTTCTGTGGACAGTGACTGGTAATCGTTCCCCCAAAAATGGCATTCTTCTTGGGAGAACTGGTGAAGACTATCTTCTTTAGCTGTCAGGACACTTGGCACCCGTCAGTTATGAAGCACCACAGCTGGAATCCTGCAGGTCTTGTATATAGAAACAAGTGTCTTGCAGTGTTGGTAGACGAAGTGGTTGGTCTGTGAACCTAGTATATGTATCTGAAAAGACCAATACTCTTCTACATGGGCAAAAAGAAAGCAAGTATAGAGAACATAATATTTAGATGGGATAACGGATATAGGGATGGTGGCAATTTGGATTGGTTCTTGGCATCCGGCTATGGAGCAGTCTTCTGACCCTGTTTGGAAAGACTGTTTGTTATCTGTGGGTGTCTCTTGAACCTTGTACATCCAGATGTAAGGGCTGACCTGGATAAAAACAAGCAGCAGAGGGAGGATGAGAAACACATGTCTAGTCCAGTGAGGTCGAGCTTGGCTGCCTGAGTGGAGTCTCATTTTCTGGGATTGAGGACAAGGTGGGTGGTCTCGATGTCCTTTGGAGATTGATAGAGCACGGTCCTGTTAGAGTCGACGTGTATGAAGAGGAGTCAATTTCAGGTGGAGGAGTGAAAGGCTTGAGGTGAGATAAGTGGA